AATAATAATAATAATTTATTATCCATAAAGACCAATACAATTGGTATAGGATTAGTCAGTACAAAATACAATATTTATCATAAACACAATTACAGAGTAACATAAAATGTGTATAATAAGTACTAAATCTAGTATAAAATTTAAAACTACATAATACAGTCTAAAATATAATTTAGCAAAATGACAATAAACATAATCGAAGATACATGCTCAAAAACTCATTAATTGAGTAAAAACTGTTTTCAGTTAAATAATATTTTATTTGTTTTTTAAATGTTTTATGACAAGTGATGTTTTTATAACAATTAGGTAATTTATTATATATTAATATTCCCATATATTTAGGACTCTCTTCATATTTTGTCAATTTATGTAGGGGAATCATAAGACTTTTACCTCCTCTGGTAGAATAATTATGATAGTAGTCTCTTGGTAAAAATAAATCCTATTATCTCTTACATACACTGAGCTCGTAAAGTTTGGAATAAATTTGATAAATCATTATTGAAGGGTTTTGACAGGAAATCCTCGGATACGTCAACTTTAGTTTATAAAATGTCTTTTTTCAGGCATCGACTTTTTTGTTTGTTTGTTTGTTTTTGATGTATGACGTCATCGGCAATTTTTTTAAATGGCAGCCCATATTTTTTTCCACGGATTTCGATAGAGCACATTTTTCTGAGTACGAATATGTCAAAAACATATGACCTTCAAGATGGAAGTTTTCGAGATATTTGGTTCCAAAGTTTCACGAATACATTATACAAGCGATGACAAAATACTAATCATTTATCAAGGAAGCACTGGAAAAATTACAATTTTGATAGTTGTTAGAATTTTGAAGTTTGTCCTCGCAAGTTTGTGTTTTATTTTAAGTTGATTAATCATTATTCTTTCAGAATTCATTTTATTTGAAAATGGTCCGTCGTTTGAGTGAAAGGGAAAGAATCGAAATTTTGATGATGATCGGTTATGGAGACAGAGCTCGCACACAAGTAGAAGTTTGCCGTTTATTTAATAACAAATATCCAAACGGAGAACCAATTACACAGTCCACCGTTCGTAAAATAAAGCAAAAGTTTTTAGAAATGGGTCATGCGAGAGATCGCCCTAGAACGGGTCGTCCACCAGTACAAGAAGATGTTAAATTGAATGTTCTACTAGAGCTTCAAGAAAATCCCCATTTACCCACACGCTAAGTGGGGGCAAACAACGTTCAAAACTTCGTCTTAAAATATTTGAAATTGTACATATGGCATCTGTATAAAGTGGCTTTGGTCCAAGAATTAAACGAAGATGATCCTGACCGTAGGTTAGTTTTGTGAAACCATGTTGCAACGCCTGATTGATGACAACGGATTCTTACGCAGTATTGTTTTCTCTGATGAGGCTACCTTTTATCTCGACGGCACAGTAAACCGGTAAAACTGTAGATATTAGTCTCCTGAAAATCCACACTGAAAATTGGAAACTCATAGTCAGTTTCCACAAAAGGTTAACGTTTGGGCTGGCCTTGTCGGTAACCGTATTTTGGGTCCATTTTTCATTGAAGACGCATTAACAGGTGAAAAATAATTTGAACTTTTAAGAGACGATTTAGTCTCTGCCCTTGTGGTGCTTTACCCAAATGACGTAGATTCTGATCTGCCCAATAACACGACATCATACGTATCGTTTGATTCCTTAGGACATAAGTAAAGCTCAGTATAAATTTCAATCTGTTGCAGTCGTATTTGCGAGATCTATGGCTTTTTCAACTCTAAGAGAAAAAAATTGTTTGACCCTCGTAGCCTCTGAATTTTTCCGTTTCCACGATATGTATGATTCCCTAGGACATAAGTAAATCTCAGTATAAATTTCAATCTGTAGCAGTCGTATTTGCGATATCTACGGCGTTTTCAACCATAAAGAGAAAAAAAATCGTTTGACCCTCGTAGCATCTGAATTTTTCCGTTTCCACGATACGTATGATTCCTGAGGACATAAGTAAAGCTCAGTACAAATTTCAATCTCTAGCAGTCGTATTTGCGATATCTACGGCTTTTTCAACCATAAAAAGAAAAAAAATCGTTTGACCCTCATAGCCTCTGAATTTTTCCGTCTCCACGATATGTATGATTCCTTAGGACATAAGTAAATCTCAGTATAAATTTCAATCTGTAACAGGCGTATTTGCGGGATCTACGTTTTTTTTTTCAATACTGAAGAGTAACAGAATCGTTTGACCCTCGTAAATCCAAAATATTTCCGTTTCCACAATATGTACCTATAATTCCTTAGGGTATCAATAAATCTCAATTTGAATCAGTAACTTTTGTAAAATCTTAAATTTTTTTGTGAAATGATATTTAAAAACTTTAAAAATTTAGTTTGTTTTATTTTTTATAACATATACTAAATTTAACTTGTGAAGACTTAAAGAAGTAAAATAATATTAAAAATAAGTAAAATAATATTAAAAATTTTAGGTCATTTTCAATAATGAACTGGTCCGCTATAAAAATTCATTTCCCGAATCTGAATCCGTGTCTGTCTTCAACCGCATACACAGTAAAGTTAAAATTACATGATGCACATCTGGACATTCCTAATACATTTCGATTAGCTCTCTTTCGTATTTTAAAAATTCTTTTTTAACTATGAGATGCACCCCAAAAAATTTTACCATATGATGCTCTTGATAATAATTCTGCATAATAAAATGATAAAATTGTTTGTTTATTTGCAATTTTTGATAATCTGTAAAGTGCATAACATGTAGAAGATAGTTTACTTGCTAATATATTAATATGTGTTTCCCAATTCAAAGCACAATCAATGGTAAGTCCTAAGAATTTAGTAGTATCTGATTGCTTAATAGATTTATTTTCTATTTTAATTAAACTACTGTCACAAACTGAATTTCTAGGTGAAAATATAATAAAAAAGTGTTTTCGTAATGATTAAAATTAAATATAAATTACCTTCATTCTCATTTGTTGTTGAAGTTAATCGAGGTGGTAAATTAACTCTAAAAAAGAAAAAGACAAAATTTTAATTATAACTATTGTAAATGTTACTTACCCTACAGAATTTCGACAATCAAGTCTTCTAAAATAATGATTTATGTCATGCTTATTTGCATTATAACACGTCTCACATAAATCATAGTTAGGACAAATATTACACTTATATCTTATACCGTGTATGTTTTGCAAATTACATGCGTCACATTGAATATAACTGTGTATAGTACCTACAAATAATATAAATAATAAAAATAAAAATTACAAAAAAACAAAGTAAGAGTTCTCATTTAAAGAGTAACATAATACAGGGTGTCTCACAGTGACCGCTCATTAGAATTATTTCAGAGACTACTTTGATTTGAATTTTGAAAATTGGGATACCAGGTTTTCGGGCATGCCCATTTCAACTAAAATAATGGCGTCCACGTACCACTTTCGGTTAAACCGGAAGTAGCCATCAACTTGCTTATTTTATATGGAACACTCTATATATTATTGCAATTTTGGATTCTACGTGTTATTTTAGGTGGACTTTTATGAAGTTTCCCTATTCCTAAAATTAACAATTTCGAGATTTTTAATTTTTTCCAAAAAAAAATGGAGAGAAACCATGTGTATTTTACAGTAAGAAAGATAAAGCAGCAATACTTATAGGGGGGGTTTAGTTAACTTCAAACCTTCATGTCGGTTTTTTTAAATGGAACACCCTGTATGTTTTTCTATATTCCGATTCACAATTTTATTCTCTTTCGAAGTAGTCAAAAAGGGACGGTTTGGTTTCCTTTCTGGGGAGTAAATGTAACCTACTAATTTAGATGTTATAAAGGCAGCATGAATGTTTGTGATGATACTTTGTAAAATTCCGTAGCTTAGTGGCGTTGCGACCTCACAAAGATGGCCGCCGGGCGGAAGTCGTAGGCATAATAGGCATAATAGTCGTAGGCATAATAAATACATAAAGCCAGGATCAATGTTTGGGATGATACTTCTTAAAAATCAGTAGTTTAGTGACGTTATGACGTCACAAACATGGTTGCCGGCCAAATTCTGTTTAAGTGTATTGGCAAAAATTATAATAATACAATATTATTATAATAATTGAATAATATAATAATGATATAATATAATAATCAATTTGTACAATACTAATACCAGTCTTGTTAAATTGTTTCCAATTTGCCTATATTTAATTTTTCCCTTTTTTTTTCATATATGGATTCCGAAGCAGACTTTTCACCATTGCCTAAAAAAGTAAAAATAACAGATCAAACCGATGAATGTATCATTCACTGTACCAGCGACAACAGCAGTTTGGTGACTCTATCATCTACCAAATCATGGAAAACTCTCTTAAACGCAGCAACAATAAGGAAACACAAAAGATTGCTGGAAATTGCAAAGTCAGTTACCGGAGAAGAATTTCCTACATTAAAGTACCACCGTCACTGTACCACTTTCGGTAGCATGAAAAGTGGTAATTCGCTTCTGCTGAGACGAAACATATAGTCTCAGCTAACCCAAGAATTCTGCTGTCATTTTTTGATATAGCAGAGGCTTTGATCGTGCCACTGGATCTCCATTCCACACATTGCACTAGTTCCTCACGTGTTCTACTTCCTGGCTTGTACTTCTGTTACTTCTCACAAAAAATGCAGATGAATGGTAGAATTGGTCCTGACGTACTTTGGTGCAATGAGTCCTTACACAACCGCACTTTGGAAGATACCGATGGTTCATCCGGTAATGTTGCGTGCTGCTTAGCCGTAATACTAGCGAGTTTAGATTTTATGGCGAAAATGCTTGGACATTGACGGTGGTACTTTAATGCAGGAAATTCTTCTAACTGACTTTCCATTTTCTTTTGTGTTTCCTTATTGTCGCGGCGTTCATATAATATGTTATTTGTGGATCTTGGTATCGCACTAACATCGTTTCACAAAATTGTACAGGTTGCACGGCGTCACCCGGATGAAGAGCAGAAAGTAGCTTAAATTTGTATGGATGCATATCATTAGTTCTTAGCATCCTGTGAATGGACACTCGTGAAATGCCTAAATCATACTCTGTGGCACTAGTTGAGGATTCTGGATGAACATTAAAATAGGCTAGCACATTTATTACATTATCTTCATTTGAAGTTATTGGTTTTGGTAAAATTCTTTCTGCACAAATTCGACCATACTCTAGTTGATTTGCTAAAATTCTTCTTATTTTTCTGCTCATTGGTGGCAAATTTGGATATGTCTCATTAAAAACTACATGTTCTGCTTATAATCCCATTGCAACATCCGTGAATAAATAATAAATTTAAAATATCAGCATGTATTGTTTTCCATTTCTTATAAACACTAAATTAAACTGTCACTGCAAGAGACTAACAACAAACTGACAGTTTAGTTGTTTGTTTTGAAGGTTTGCTAAAAATTCCACAGCTATACTCGCAAGAAATTACATGATTTTAGGTGATTACACAAAAAATAGTAGATAACTTAAAAACTAGAAGAGATCGGTATAGGTAACCCTGATACCCTTCGAAAGATAATAAAATTGTGTATCAGAATATAGAAAAACATGCAGGGTGTTCCATTTAAAAAAACCGACTTATGAAGGTTTGAAGTTAACTAAACTCGACATTAAATTTCTAGCACCCTGTATGCAATTGAGCCACTTTGAAAGTATGGATGGGAAACTTAGGGGTCTAGCTATCCCCCCTATAAATATTGTTGCTTTATCTTTCTTACTATAAAATACATATGGTTTGAAGCTAGTCACTGTTTCCTCCATTTTTTTTTTTTTAAATTAAATATCTCGGATATGGTTAATTTTAGGAATAGGGAAATTTCATAAAAGTCCACCTAAAATAATATTGAAGAACCCAAAATTGCCATAATATATAGGGCGTTCCATTTAAATTAAGCAAGTTGATGGCGTCTTCTGGTATAACCGGAAGTGGTACGTGGACACCATTATTTTAGTTGAGAAGGGCAAGCCTGAAAACCCGGTATCCCAAATTCTCAAAATTCAAATTGAAGTAGTCTGAAATAATTCTAATGGGCCGTCACTTTGAGACATCCTGTATATTAAATTTATGATGTCCTTTAGTTCAACTGCCAAACTTTCAAATCAAAATTAACAAAAAATTCTAACGAACAATTCTGACTATGAAGATATAGCAGCTTGAAGGTGATCTGTTTCCAATGGTTATTAAAATAATATTTACTAAAGAATAAAAATTAAATACATTTTAAATACTTATCTTTAGTAAAATGTTTTAAAAGCAATAATTTTCTCAATTACAATCAATTTTTCAAACTACAGGGTAGATGTATTTCAAGGAAGATTTTTTTTATTCAAGATGGCTATGAAAAAGTGGGTCCAATGCGATAAATTTTTACTGTAGAACTGACTATAAATATGAATCATCAGTAATCAAAAACGTATATTATAGGTACTGATAATTTCACTAGAAAATATTTTAAAAACCATCATCAACAGGGCATCAGTTCATTAAAACTTTTTTTATTTTGACTAATGACTGCCATGCAGAAGTTTAGCAGTCAAATTAAGGGACAATATGTATAATTAATGTTAAAGGGATACAAGGTTACCTACCTCCTTTTATACTTCTGAAATTTAGACGAGGTGGTAAATCAATTCTGAAAAAGAAAAGTATATTGAAATAAATCATTTCATTCAAACTAAGTTCATCATTTCTTACATTGGACCATTTGGTGAAGTAATTCTTTTAAAAACATGACTCAAATCATGCTTATTTCCACGATAGCAAAAATCACATAAATCATAGTCGTAACAATTATTACACTTGTACCTTATGCCCTGTATATTACGAGAATTACATCCATCGCAATTAATACCTTTGTGTACAGTGTCTGAAACGTACAAGTCTTTAATTATACAGTATGTATATAGAATTCTATATTATTTCTAATCTAATTACTGCTTGGGAAAGTTAAAGTGTTCATATTTTGATATATCATACCGTTTTATAGGGGATGATTTCTAGACTCTCACAGAAAACTTGCTTGAGAAAAATATTTTTAATAAAATTTGCTACATTTGACATTTTCTATTTTTTTAACGTTCTGAATATTTTATTACAAATTTGTCACCCAAGATAAAATTTTTGATCAAGATGATGGTTTTCCTATCTTGAGAAGTTTTCTAATATGTACTTGTAAAAAAATTTCAGATCTGGTCAGCCACTCCTATAATTTAATTTGAAAAATGTGCATGGGCCATGTCTCATTATCAAAATATGATCATTTTAACTTTACCAGCAGTCACTGTTGTGATTTCAATTCAAGTAATTAATGTGAATATCTAATTCATTTTTTTAGAAATTGAAGCTTTGGTTTTTTTTGTTTCTAGTTTAGTCGTTGAATGGATACAATGGATATCTTTGCTTTTAAATGCTTCGACTAACTTATAGTTTCTTAAATATATTCTTTTAACAGATGTGTTAAGAGTAGGTATGTACATATCATTTGTCGCTAATTACATCGATCATGACATTTAACTGGAGATGTTTTATAAGCAGACAATGATTTTTTAAATTCTACAATGTAAGACTAAAACAAATTTTATTGATATGATTATAAAAACTAGAATAAATTATTTATGTTTTGATAATCCAACTATAAAATACAATTACCTTCTCCATGATTCTTCATTGAAGTTAAGAGAGGTACTAAATAAACTCTGAAAATAAAAATATATTTAAATAGGCTGGTCTTATATTTTATTTTAATTATATATTTTTATTTTTCTCACCCTAAATTATTTGGCAAGTCAACTCTAATAAAAATATGACTAGGGTCATGTGTATTTCCATGATAACATGAATCACATAAATCATAGTTATAACAGTTTTTACACTTATATCTGAAACCATGTATATTAACCAAATTACATGCATCACACCGAACACCTTCGTGTACCGAACCTGAAATGGTAACCGAATTTTAGTAGTTACAAAATATTTGTCTTTTATTGAAATAGATAATTTTTCAGGTATATGCCATAACTTCAGAAGGTTGTTTATGACTTTTTCGAATGTCTAAAGCCACTGATTTTTAGAGATACAGGGTGTTGCAGTTTTAAAAATGAATTTGAGTGATTAGTTATAGTTAGTTGTCACTTTTTGACAGATTAGCGCATTAGTTTGAGAAATTTATACTTTCGTTACTTTAACTCAAGTTTTATCAATGTAGGTAAAACATATTCAGAGGTAATTAAATAACTGTGATATTTTTTACATTTTAACATGTATTTTACAAACCAGTGGATTTAGGCCAGTGGTTAGGATTACCAGATGTGAAATATGTAAAGTATGACAATTGCAACAAAAAAGAATGGCTTTCAATGGAAAAGGAGGATATTTTTTGAACATTCTATTTTACTTTATTAGGAACATAAAAGATAATTGTAAACACAAGTAAACTTAAAAAACATTGCGTTAACAAATGGAACAAAAACTTTATAAAATAAATAAACGAGTTAATGAGTATTAACATTGAACTTAATATCAAAGAATAAAGACTGTGAAATAATAAAAACAAAACATTATAACATACAAAATATTAAAAATATTAGAGCAAGTGGCAAGTGCAGCAATTTTTATTGATATTTTTGAAAGGTCAGACAGAGGAGAAATCCGGCCAGACAATGAAATTTGCTTTAAAAAAGGGGACATGTCCGGCTTTAATCGGACTAATGGTAACCCTACCAGTGGCAGCTGGTGCAAATTAATGTGGTCATATTTTGATAATGAGGCATGGGACCCATACCCTTTTGATGTGATGGTCTCTATGCACAACTTTCACAACGGAAAAATTTGCAATTCAATTAGGAAAATAAAAAATTAATGTAGGGGGTTGTTGACCCTGAGATCTCGAAAAGGGTTTAACATACGAGGAATATTTTTCCCATGGATAAAAATATTTATTTATTCTTTAAATTTTCTTTGTAGTTATATTTATTTAAATTTTAATTTGAACTAAACTGTAAAAATGATAATAATTTTGAGAAAAATAAAAAAACAGCTGTTAATTATGGAAAACAATATTTTCTAAATATACTTCTGCAACCTCTTATTTAATATTTTATTTCACAAAACTTCTCTATGTGGGCTTAGAAATTATTCCATAAAAAATTATATTGGGTTTCACGCTTTATTATCAAAATAGGACCATTTTAATTTTCACCAGTCCCTCCTGATGTAGACCCTTGATTCAAGAAGGCCTTTTAGTGTAAAATGATCGACGGAACAACCACCGAAATTATGACTTCTTAAAATACTCCCTACATACTTTATGGTATGATTTGAAAAATATGCATCATTAAGGTTAAGTAATTTTTGTTTAATTTTGTAAAAAAAATATGCTACTTAAATAATATTAAAAAGAAAATCTATTTTAACAAATTTATCACAAGTAATATTTAAATCCTATTTTAATTGAATTAAAAATATATTAACAACAAATTTTAGTAACTATTTTTGAAAAGGAAATTTTCAAATTTGACATGTTAAAACTTATGATTTACTGAATAAATAATGTTTAGGTATTCTGTAAGGCTTACCTGCTTTCAAATTTCTCCTAGAAGTTAGACGAGGTGGCAAATTAATTCTAAAAAGTAAAAAATATTAAAATCATTCAAATCAAAATCGTAATTTTCTTACAGAATTACACAATCTGGAGAATCAATTTTTTTAAAGCTGTGACTTAAGTGATGCTTATTTCGATGGTAACATAGATCACATAAATCATAGTCGTAACAATTATTACACTTGTATCTTATGCCCTGTATATTACGAGAATTGCATCCATCACAGTGAATACCTTTGTGTACAATTTCTGAAAACCACAGTAAATTAAAATTCATTAGCTGTATATTTAGACTGCTATTATTGCAAAATAATAATAATAGTAATAAAAAAAATTGTAGGATTAATAGGATAAATAAAAGTTGATAAGTAAAAATCAAATCATTGAGTTCGTACAGACAGTATTATAAATACATTTATAGTATACTCTTAGATCAGAAGCTTATTTGTACATTTAAGAAATGAATTTCCGAAAAACAACACATTTCTCATTTTTTTAAACAAAATAAATTTATTAATCTTTTGTAATCAATTCTTAAAACCTTTAGCGAATTTGTTTATATGGGTTCTATTTATTACATCCTATTAGTTCTGTAGAATAGAAATTTTTATTATTCATGACAGATAAGTCCTATCTTTTCGCATGATTTTTAAATCGGTAACTAGCTGTTTGCCTACTCTATTTATTTGCATGCGGTAATATTACTTGCCGCATTCGAATTGCCAATAATACACGCAAAATTTAAATAGCTACACACTCGAAAATATTATTTTTAAAAAGTGACATTTAAATGAGTTATTTATGTCAACTTAAACTGAATAAAAATATGTGGACCCCCACCGGGGCTTCGCCCCTGAACTCTGAGATTTCATTACATTCGTAATAAAAAAATAGTGTGTGCAATTTGTGCGGTTGTTTATTCCCCACTTAAGCGGAGCCGCTCTCGTGGGCAATAGACAACTTATCACACTTATTGCATAATATACTATTACAGAAGACTCAATCGAAAAGTAGCGATTGTTCTAAATAAACTATCGATATTATTCGATAGTGTCAGCTATCGATAATTATATGCATTCTATAGTTTTCTACCTCCAATCTGAATCTATGAGAGAGAATTAAAGTGTTAAGTCATGATGATACATGTTAATAAAAGTTTTCAATCAATACATAATTCAGTGGCGGTTTTACCATAAGAGCTGCGGAGCTGCAGAACACATAAAATTTATGTATTTAATTATATTAAATATCAACAAAATATTTAAAGAATTCAAATGTACTCGCGCTAAAATAAATCTGGGAGCTTATATTATTTATTATGACGCGAGCTACGCCCCTTAATATATGCAACCTCATATACAAAATGTGTTCACAGCGAACAGTTAGATGCGTCCTTTGTTTTTATTGGCTAATCAGGCACGTGACCCAGTACACGTGTATATGGAGTTATGTGGCTGTAACAATGACAGCCACAGCTGCAGTAAATGCAGTAATATTTCATTCGTGGTATGTGGTGATTTATATCTGCGAGCGGCTCGTGTAAATGTTTTCGTTTAGGCGTCTACAGATATTATAGTTAATAAAATGAATAGCTTTTCGTTTTTACAAAAAACTTTTTGTTTCTCTGCCTTATGAGGATAAACTAAAAATAAAAGAATTAGGTGGACCAACACCACAATTAAATATTGAAGTAAAAGTTATAAAAGACAATTTAACAATAATGTATACACAAAAGCAGAGTGGGTGTGCGGGTGTGATATCAAAAATACACTGTTTTGTTTTCCCTGCTTATTTTTCGATGGGGATGAAGCATGGACAATATACAGTGTGAAAGATTTAAGTCATTTAAGTCATTAGGTAAAATAAACATAAGAAGTCAGTTAGATTCTGGCTATTGGGATAATGTACAGAAACACAATGAACAGGTAACGAAAAATCGTTATGTATTATCTAAAATCATAGATTGCAAAAAATTTTGCGGAGCTTTCGAATTAGCACTTCGCGGACACGACGAGACAGAAAATTCGGACAACGCTGATGTGTTTCGTGGACTCATAAATTTTAGTGCAGATCTTGACGACATATTAAAAGAACATCTAGCCACATAGGTATGACCGGGATTTTCTGTGATTGTACCGGGAATTAGCTGTATGGTCCCGGATTTCGGATTTGCACGTACAATCTCCCGGAATATAATATATGTACATATATATAAAAAAAGATAAAGAAAAAATCATAACACGGAGAGGAAAATTAAAATTCGTTGAATCGTTGGTAAACTTCACAAATGATTTTTTTATTTATAAACAATATTCAATAAAATATAATATGTATGTATTTAGTTTATTCCAATTTATTTATATCGTCAGTGGGTAATTCATGGATATTTCAAAAAGGTATCAATTTCAAAAATCGTTCTTGTGAAAATCTGTATTTTTGTATAAATGGATTGCTCCTTGAAATTCAGAAGTGCTAGGAAAACGCATGACCTTGAAAATTTTAAAATTTTTCGCCTGCGGCGCCATTTAGAAACTCTCCGGGAACTTAATATCCCGGAATTCAGTTCAACAAATGTAACAACCCTAAGTAGAACACATTCAATCAATGTTCACGTGCCGCTACTGATACACATCCTTCTGATTTATGAAAGCGTTGTTCCTACAAACTCGAAAATATATTTTCTCTAGTTATGTAAAGCACATTTTTCTTTGAAATATAGTTAATTGTAGAATATCCTAGTCAAATTTTCAATCGAAAACTCTTGACAATTACCCACTCTTTGACAATTATTGTATAATTGTACATATACATTTTCTTATTGCTTATTTATTGTAACACCTTTTATCCAAAAAACTGTGTTTTTTTTAAAGAAATATTCTTAGGAACTTCTTTCTTCTTTAAATTTAACTGACTTGACTTTATTATCAAATGAAACTTAAGGGCCACTTTTGTATGGTAGTAATTCAATATTCTCTTTGTTAGAAAGATATAATCTGAACAATATGAAACATGAATCAAGACTAACTTAAACTTGTCTATACACAGATATAAAAAAAGGGACAAAAACGGAATTAATATGATCATGTAATTAATGTATACAGTGGAGGTGTACTTTTGCAATCTGTTGGAAACTATACTAAAAAGATGGTAAAATTACTAGAATTTAAAATCGACATTGATTTACAACCCAAATCAGCAAGTGATTTGTAAGTTTAAATTACTTTTACAAACTCCTTTCAGTTTAACATATTTTTATGTGTACCTACCGTTTTGTGTAGATTTGTTCATAGTATGCTTCATATTTATGACATTTGGTAGATATTTTACAATTAGAAATTGATTCTTATTAATGAATAAAGTGAGATTATCAGTTATCAAATAAAAATTTGAAAATGTGAAAGCCTCAGATAATTAAGGCTTAGTAATTTGTTACCACCACAGTTTTTTTTAAATAATTTATATTTTGGTAAATTCTGGACAGATGTGCTTACCTTGTTCGTGATTTCCCCTTCGTTTTAAGCGAGGTGAAAGAATAATTCTAAAAAAATAGAACATATTAAGGCACGAATTGCTTTATAATTATTCTTCTTACCCTGCACAATTTTGTGAATCAATTCTAAGAAATGTATGACTAAGTTCATGTTTGTTTCCATGATAGCACAGTCTACATAAGTCATAATCATAGCAATCGTAACACTTGTACCTTCTTCCACGAATGTAACCAGATTTACATTGGTCGCAGCTAATACCCCAATGTTCAGCATCTGAAAGCACAGCAAAGTAACTGCATTTTAGTAGGTCGTAATGGATGTCAATAATACTCGTAACAAAGAACTTTTTTTTTTGTTCAATGTTATGAATTATGATAGTTCAATATTATGGATTATAGCAGTTTCCAAAAAGTAATCTAGTTTAAAATTCCATTTGGATATAACTTTTTTAAAAATTACCTTCATCATTGTCTATGTCAAATTGAGGTGCCACTATAATTCTAAAATAAAAGTGTTATTAAAATGTGCTGCGTTTTATCCTAATGTTTTTATTTACCCTGCAGAATTTGGAGAATTAATTCTACCATCAGAACTGCATGCGTCACATGTAACACCTAGGTGAATTACACCTGAAATATAAAGTAAATTATTATGAACTTGCACAGTAATTCTCTTATCTTTGTTGAAAATAGTGCTCTGCTTACTTTTTTAAATATCAGAATATGAGTATAACGTGTGTTATTTATGTTAAATTAATTAACTTAATTATTATAATTTCAATTAAATCCTAATTTAATAGTATTTAATAATAGTTTTCAATCAATCAATTAAAATAATCATAGGACATTCGTGATATTATACAATTAAGATTAACTATCCTATCAGTTGTGCAAACGTTTGCCTTTTAGGTGGATATACATTTCTAAATAATATCAAATCTCATGTGAAACAATGATATCTATTTATAAGATACAATGCAATAATTAAATAGAGTCAAAAGTTATATACGTATAAAAAACTGACATGAAATTTCTAAGAAAAATTTCATTGTAGTATACACTATAATTTTAATTTTTGTTTAATAATAAATCAATAATTATTTAAATAATATATACATTTAAACACCTTGTTTAATGCAAGATAATATTAATAATTTTCAATGTAAATAAGTTGACTCGATATGATTTTTCTCTTGTTTTTAATATTTCTATAATTTGAACATGTAATTACAACACTCTTACCAATTTGGGCATTGTCAACAACACGAAGCTCATATGTGCCCATTTGTCCAATTTTACATAGTGTCTGATTCCCATTGTCCCACTGTATTATAACAGTTTTATCTGTATTATCTATATGATATAAAGTTCCTGTATAACCTTCTCCACCATCTAAAAATTAAAAAAAATCTACCTATTTTTTTTAAGCAAATATAAATTATACCTTCATCTTGCCAAGACCAGTCAGGACCCCTAACCACTCTCAGTCCTAACTTTAGCATATTCAATTATGTTGTTACAAAACTTCAGCAACACACACTAGTATAGATGTATAGTTACAACTACATTTAATACTTGCATTTGCACAAACTAATTGAGGAATATATGACCTCAGCAACACATAAAAGATAAGCACATATTTGTTATTAACGGAACTGGAGATATAGAAATGAAAATATTTTATTATTACGTTCTAGATTCGAAATATGGTTATTTGTGCAGAACTTTTATACAACTTTTAAACATTAAATCATTAATTTATAAAACATAATCATGAAAGAATAATTGAGATTCAGAAGCTAAATATACGTTTAAAAGTAACATATTGGGATATTAAAATTTACTATATTTTAATACAAAATCAGGACCGGCGCGGCGCCAGGGTATTAGGCGTACATGTTTTGTCAGCCTAAGAGAAAATAATTTCCTGGTTAAACAAATTCATTTTAAGAAAACGTATTAAAAATAAAACATTCTATAGATAATAAATGAAAATAACTCATTGAAAAATATTAGAGCAAGAGAAAACAAAAATTATAAGAGCAGACCTTCTATTAAAAATAAAACAATTATGTCAAAAATCTTTACTTGTATAACAAAAATCTCAAATAAATTACACGTTCACCTAAAATTCAAAGAAAAATCTTGTAATAGTCGAAGTGGCATCGTTTACTTCATTACATGCGCGTTTTGCTCGAAATTGCAATTGCTCCTTGCCCTTCAGACAAAAACAATCGGTGGTATAGTTTTTCCAAAGTCAGTTGAACATGTATAAAAAAACCGAGCAATCAAATTTAATGAGTTTCATAGACGTCCCTAAAAAAGTTTTCTTCTGTAAAAAATTATAAAATAATTTATATATAATGTGTAGAAAATTTCTATTATATGTTCATTTGGCCAACAACATATTTTAATTATTTATGTCCTCAAACAATTTTATTATATTGGTGGTAAATTTCGTTTTCTTCCGTTCAAAAGGTCTCCAAAATGCCATGTTGTGATAATATTAGTAAACAAAATATCCCTCTTATTTCTCCCTTTCGCAATTGTAATATGAATGATTGATAGAAGGTGCCTGTAATAAACTAAAATTACCTGAATCACACCAAATTCCGCATTGCTGCACTGCACTGCTGGGCAATTTATCAACCACTTGTCAATTGCTGTGATTTATTTTCCAGTAGCCCAATGCAATTGTCTTTGTTTTCCTTTGCCCGCGCTCGCGTTCTTCAACTGGTTGTATACATTTCTACCACCTGCACGTTTAGCTCGACCAGACCTGTATATGGGCATAGCTAAATAAATATGGGAACAAGTTTTTCAAATACTTCAATGCCGAGTTGCTGCGTAGCGACCGAGCCTGATACATACCTTGAAGTTATTGGTTTTTCAATTGACTTCGGAAAAACTATAACCTTTAATACGTATATCTGTCTAAAATTACCATGGGCTACACTACCGCCTTTAAAAAATGCCCTCTGAAACAGTGCTTCACTGTTTCACAACTTCTACAGGTAACGTATGAAATTAGCGATGTTAATTAGCGGCAAATCTAGATTTTTGGAGCTTTACGCCAGTGGCGCCGTCAGAAAAAAGTTTTAGGGGGCCGAAAATAAGTGAAATGCTCTAAAAAAGAAAATAATCAGATTTGGTAATGTGTAGAGGTGGGGGGCTGCCGTGCCAATTCTTCACAAAGAATAAATTGTATGGGTAACAACTACCATGGAGGTCTGTTCATCAGTTTTTCAAAGAGAGATTATAAAATTATTTGGGTTAGCTTTGCTTCTAATGCATTAGAAACAGTTTCTAACCATGCCGGATCTGTTAGAGGTATTGTACATTAACGAGGTTGTCACCACTGTACAAATTTATTAAATTAATGGCTTTGGACTTTATCTGAAAGTGCAACTCCCAAAGCCGAAGTTGCGCAGTTAAACCACAAAGTATTTTAATAAGTCCAAAGGCATTAATTTAACAAATTTGTACAATGGAGACAACCTCGATAATGTACATATTTAGGTTTCCTGGTAGTACAGTACTACTCTTCATTTCTTTGTCACTTCTCAAGGGAACACTTGCATTTCGGAAAGCATTTTGGGGTGGAAAACGACAATTTTGAAAAAAAAATTTTATATAAGTTTCTTAGTTTTCGGCATAGAATCGAGATCAATAAGAAAAAGTATGCGATTCGATTTTAAAAAACTGACTTCCGGTCTGAATAGGCTGATTCCGGTGGGATCTGAAAGTTGAAAATTGTAGTAGTAGTAGTATACTTATTTACTCAATCATTACCCTGAAGGGTGTTGATACCTTCAATCGGTCCGGTATAGTCCATTCAATATTAAGAGGCATTGAATTTTTCATTTTATTAGATACCCTAGATGTCAGAAGGGGTGGATGGGTGGTCTGAAACCCTCTGTATAAACACTGTTCGTTTATTTTATAAAATATACAGGGTGTTGGGATTAATTGGACGAAGGTAAAATTTTGATTTGTCCAAAACTTGAAAGAATGTCTGGAAACGCTTCATGTTTGAGACAGATGGTATCGGAATTTGAATAAAAAGGCCTTTCGGATTTTCTAAAATATCTCTGCTGAAGATGATTGATGGACAGTATTGAAACTTGGGCTAACGACCTGTCCAATTAAAAGTAAAAATCTACTACATAAATTTATATATGAATATCAACCATTGTGGTGATATGTTGCCATTAACACTAAGAAATCAGATTCATTTAATTCTCTTTGAAAAACAAACCATTTTCGAGTTATTACTTTTAAAACTTACATTATTGTTATACCAGAATTAGTAGTTAGAATTATTAGTTGAATGAGAATGCAAGGGAAAAATCCTATCGACTTTTTTGTGGAACAAGTAGTTTGAGTTATCTTAGATCATTGAAGTACCGATAATGATATTGATCAAAATATAAATAAATTAAAAATAAAAATTGTCTATTTTCCTCAAACGAAAAAAAAAAAAAGAAAAAATAACACCTTGTATATTATGAACATCTTAATCTGAGGTTTACAAATAGAAATTATACACAAAAGTAAGTTTAAATTATATTTTATTACATAAAATACAGAAAAGTTAGTTATTTAAATGTTATTCAATTGTTATCTATACTCATAATGTAAATACATATTCTAAAAACGTATAAATGGTATAAGTAAAATACTTGGCCACACTAATACCACATTCTACATCACAAACTAAAAAATAAAGTTTATATTAACATGTTTCTGGAATCTGTTCATTTTTGAGATACAGGGTGTTCAAAATTAATGAATAGGTTATTTCAAATTGAGAGAAAGGAAAATATTTTACTTTATATATTTGGATATAACGCTTTCTTAGGATTACAATGATATCAGGCGTGACAGATTTCTTTAGACATATCCAAAAGAGTATACTAACATTACTCTTTAGACAGTTATTAAATAAACAAAATCAAAGGGTCGACGCTCGAATTTTCATATTCCATCCGAAAGTTTTAATAGATAGCTGCGGACCGCCTCCGGCCGTAAGAATTTTTCAATTATAGATATAATTGGATGTATTGATTTAGGATGGGAATTCTTTTCCGTTAACTCGCCATAACTAATGCGGAACTTCTCTATGCATTCTGAGGATTTTCCACAGCGAATACAACTTCTATAGACGAGTCTGTTCGACATATTACAGGGCGATTCAGAACTTATCCAAAAAACAATTTTGGATGTACAGGGACCTTTTACAACTAGTTTTGTAAAAAAAAATTAAAAAGGACAGTTCGAAATTGATTTAATAATACACTTCTGCAAGGTACTGTAATGACTGACCTTACCCATTTTCTACGAACTAACACAAGTATTGTCTTGCTTCGCCATAAATTCAAACAATATCCATCAACTTTGAGTTGCTATACACGTAAACCATTTTTGACACTTGAAAAACTAATGTAAATACTATCGCAAAAACGTTAATACTAAAATCGGATTTCAGTATTCAGAATCGCCTGAGTAGACCCAAGGGGAGAGACCTCACAGCGCACAACGTGGATAGATTGCACTCGGATGACACTAGAAACTACAGTAGCCCAGCGATGTAAAAGTTGAAAATACTACAACTTCAATAATTGTTTTCTCGTAAACTATAAGGAGTTTACAAAAAAAAATTTTAAGATAATTGTCAAATCTCTCTTATTATTAGAGACAGACCTGTCAAACGTTTTATCACCATAATATTAATATCCAAATATGTAAAAATATACAGGATGTCATGTCAAAAAATATATAAGATTAGCATATATATCTCCAAAATGCAACATTCAATTCATTTTTCTAAGTATTGTTTTGAAATTACAAGAAAATATCCTATGATGTGGATCCATACCATTTTTTTCACAAGTACCTATCACAGAAGAAGAAGGTAGAATTATTATATTTCTCTCAAATTCTAATATCTCATTTTGGAGGTCTAGAAAGTATTTCCGACCACATATTTATTTATTATTTCTTTAATTTGTGATGCAGAATCTGCCATAAGATAGCTTAAAAACTTTTATTATATCACATGACATCATGACATCTGAATTTACTTTCAGTTATCAAATAATACTCATTATACAATTGTATTATTTAATTGTAAAATGTATATACAAAATTTTAGGGGATGCAAAAACCAGAGGTGTAGTCTGATTTTAAATAAAAAAGTCGCTAACGAATTTTTACTAAATTTGACAAAGAACATTTTTAAAACTACTTATATTCAAAAGGAAAAATTATTTTTTTCTGAGTGTTTTCAACTGAAATGGGTAATACAGTTAGTAATTAAATATTACAACATATAAATCTTATACACAAAGCGTAAATGCTCCATCTATTGCGCGACTTCCCAACTACGCCATTCATATGGCTACTACTAGTTGGAAGCAATCTGCTAAAATTTGCCAGATACTTATTTGTAAGGCAAAAACAAAATGTTTTAAATTGCCAGGTTGCGAGAAACAGCAAGGAAATATGTCATACACAAAGCGTAAAGGCTCCATCTATTGTACGAACACTGGCAATTTAAAACATTGTTTTTAGTTTAGTTGGAGACGGTGGTGCAAATAAGTACCTGGTAAATTTTAGCAGGTCGCTTTCAACTAGTAGTAGCCATATGTCATAGTTGGGAAGTCGCGCGATAGAGCATTTATGCTTTGTGTATGACATATTTCCTTGTCGTGAGTATACGGCACTAAAACAGGTGGATTGTTCGTCGATTGTCTCACCTACGACATACTGATGAGGATCAATAAGTCCGAAACCGGTCTATGTCTGGTGGGTTAAATTGACGAACGATCCTAACTGTTGCACTAGGTGTTGCGAGTATAATTCAATGCCGGTAGGGGCATATAGCATGCAGAGTAGTTGTTTCTCGCAACACTGGCAATTTAAAATATAAATCTTAATTTTTAGTAATATTTTTGTATGGATAATTCTACACAATAGATTTTCAGATTGTTGGTATAAAAAAATAGTTATAGCAAGAGAAAACCAGATCTAATAAATTCGAATTTTCATTTGAATTGTCTTTCTACATATATGGCAAGACACTAGGCTGTTAGCACAAGTAGAGCAAGTGCCATGTCCGCATAAGAATACCATATCACGTTTATTTTCCATGCAAATTGCACAAATTTGGCTTTCCTCCATTTCCATTATTTTGTTTTCTAATTGCTTCAATCGTTCATCACTAGTAGTAACATCACTACAAACTGGAGTATCTTCACTATCTTCTAAAGTACTTTCAATCATTCGAGAATTAATCGCAGTTTCACTGACATGTTCATTCTAGAATATTTAAACACAGTCGTTTAATTTTTGAAATTTAAAGTTTATATGATCTTTAAGGAAATAGTGGTTATAATAATATATTTAAAAAAATAAGTTAAAGGAGCACAAGTGTCACTCGATGAAAAACAATGTAAACAAATCTGCAGTTGTGGAGCACAGGGAGACAGAATATGCAATAGATCTAATACCAGAATTATGGCAAGAGAGAAAGATTTTGGCCAAGGTGGTGGTCTTTTGCCTGAGGTTATTCCAAATGCAGCACCACACATGATATAAGTTTTTATATTCTTTAAATGGAACACTCAGCGTATTTTTTCATATTTGAATGATTTTCAATTGTTTATTTCAGAATAACGAAGAAAATAGGTGCCAATACTTAGGGTAAACGACTTGATACACGTATAGAGGCTACAGAGCCTTCATAAATGATTACAAGCCACATTACCAGTAATTTGTTTGGAACAGTAATTTAATTTCCTTCATGTTGGCAATTAAATTTCGGTAAAATTAAAAATTATTGAAACAATAAGATCAAAATTGCATTAAAATACAACATTCTGTTTCACCAGTTGCAACTGGTGTAATTTTTTGACAAGATTCTATTCAACCAATCAGCGATCGCATTATCTCGAGCGTAGCCGTAACGGTTTGTTATTGTTAATTTATAAATGAATCATTGATATTGGTGATTCAATATTTTCCCTAAAAAAAATATCTAAGTTTTGACTCACTAGCAGACTTGATTAAGTGTCACTCTACAAATGTATTTTATACACATGAAAATTTATATTAGTAATGCTTTGTACCTGAATGACATGTTGATATTCTGTTACCATAGTTTGACCTGAAAAATAAAAAATTTAATAAACAAAAAAGAAAATTTAATGACAGCAATTATTACCCAAGACTGGAAGATGTTCTGGATAGTAATAAATGCTACCTGTGGCTGCTGCCGCAAGCTGAATATCACAATGTCCCTTGTATCCTAATCGGCACAATTGTACACTTCCATCTTCCCACTTTACGTAGGCAGCTGATCTCCAAGAGTCATAATTATTCCATCTAGTTATTCCGCGGACAATTCCAGGTTGATCTATGTTACGAAAATGGAAAACAAAATAGTTATATACAAATGGTATCTATGAAGGAAAAATGCATAATAATTATATAGCGTGCTCTAGAAATAAATACACTTCTTGGAATGATTTATAGAACAATATTTGTTAATAACCCCGAGCCCATTTTGGAAAAAAATGTCAAGATTATTAAGGTCAGACCAAATTTGAACTTTTGTAGAGAATGTACAAGAAATGTTTTAGTGCTATCTCCAATTAGCAAGCGAATAGTGAAATATGGGATCATTCAGTAAAATTGAATTTATAACTCTTTACATTTTCCCTAAATAGGTATATTGTGGAAAAATCAGATCGATAATATTAATCATGATAAATAATGTCTAATTTATAAAAGATTTTAAATGGCCCCTGTTGCTAGAAAAGCATCTGTAATGTCACACCACTCGACTGATTCAATATTTGTGTTATAGTTTTAGTTTTTCTTCCGTTTACTTGTGATCTGTCAAAAGTTTATTTTTATGAAACAATTTTTGTCTAATCAAAATCTAACACTGACATGTAGACAAGTAAAAAAATATATGTCACTATATCATATCATACACTCCAATTCAAGGAGATTAGTCATTTGTTTTGTAAATGGGATTTCTGTAGATATAGATTTAAAAATGTACTCCTTTCATCTGGTGCAAATATGGAATCTGTGAGCTTAATAGAAATCAAACTATAAAATAAAATCACTTATTCCGTGTTACAGATTGGTGCAAGAAAAGTTGCACGCCACTTTATACACCAAGTTTGATTTTTTGCACCTGGTATTTGTTCTGATCATTAATTATCTTAAATATTATTTTTGTATCTAATAATTTTGTATAAGAAAAAAACTTTTTAATCTTACTTATTTCTTACGCCAGGGTATAAAATTATGATTAACATTTTGAGAAACAAATCTTTTTTTATTTAATAGTTGAAATTACTTTCTTTTTGTCTGCTTCCCTAGCTAGAGACATCATATGTGGGCTAGCTGGTAACAAGTAGTATAACATCACAATATGTCTTCAATGCGTTTTATCAAGCTGTTTTTATTAAGTTTGAGGAAGAAATTGTTGAAAGAAAATTCAGATTTTTTGCACATATATGAGGTATACAACAATGACATACAAAGTTGCATTTTTGTTAGAAGGCAGCAAGGGGTAGGTATAGTCTGGAAAACAATTGTGCCAGTTTCTTGGACTTATCATATTTAGAAAAAAGATCATAATAAACATTAATGAAGGAAAAGAAAAGCACAAAATTGAAAATGGTTTGTGTTTCTTGCAAACATTAAAGTAAAGACGTTTATAAAATATTCTGGTGTTTTATTGAAAGTAATCCCGCTATCTCTACCATTGGTATATCCAAATTTAGTGTATTTTTCGTTAATTACATAAATTGTCAGTCTAAGTTTCATATTTCAATATTAAACATCATCAGTAGACATATTTCTAGAAAATGATTTTTTTTAATTTGAACACTGTCAAGAAAATTATCTATTTGCGAACACATATTCATATAAATTTTTTAGTTTAAAATAATTCAAAATATCACTATTTAAAGTTTGTTAACATACTTAATTAACATCCTGTGTATTTGTGATTTGCTTGAGAAACCGTTGAATACAGTAATTATGTGGTTATGCTTAATTCTGATTAAACATAGGCCAACCCTTGTATACAATATACATGTCATATTATTTAGATGAACAGATTGGGAATAAATAATTTCAGGACAGATTTTGCCTGATACAAACTGTCACTCAAATTTAAGCATTTATATCAGGAAAAAGCACAACAGAGGTATCCAATTATAATGTTTTCTTTAGACCCTATATTGTTTAACAAAGATTGTTTATTTTATGATTCCTATTATCCTATCTACGAAATGTACTAATTTCTAAAACACCTTGTATAGGGTATAAAAATTGTGTAAACTTGTTCTTTGACAAAAAAAAATGCATAATTATATGTTTCTATACAGGCTGTTACAAATTCGCTTCTCACTACAGGGATCTCGGAAACAAGAGTATCTCGTAAGAGGTACAAAGTACCTTAAATGGGGGCAAAGTTGCGTAATCAGGGGACCAACATTATGCCTTTAAAAAATCAAGGCTAACATGATTAATTTTTGGAATATTTGAAAAAAAAAAACGAAATTTTGGAAATCCGTTTTTGTTTAATTTCAGCCTTATTTGAGGTGATATTGAAAAAAAGAAGAACACTCTCAAGGCCATTTTTTGCCCTCTATCGTATGGCATAATTAATTTTTATATGTAATGTTTCGTCTCTCCAGGATCATCAACTTCATTTTTTTTAAATACGACTGGAGATTTTTTTACATTTTTTGCAAGTCTTCATGCCTCCCAATACTGTACTGCCTCAGCCTGAACCAGATTCAGACGTTTTGTGTCGAAAAATTCATCTTCAGTGTATTTGTTCCAAATTTATCTAAATTTTTTATTTAGATTTCTTTGTTTATTGAATTATCGTATACTGTAAGTGTCGTTAGACCCTGTGAAATCCATCTAGTTATTTAAACTATTACCACCATGCATTAAAATAAAACATTATTGTTTTATTCCCATGTCCATAGTTATTTCTAGGCTTCTCGAGTGTTCAAAATTCAAACAAATTCCGATCTATATTTTTCAATATATTCGTACAAATACATCTGACTTGCTCTTTCACAGGTGCAGTTACAGATAGGAGTAGGGTATATTTACCGTTTTGATGTCTCCCCCCTCCACTTTCTGGCTTGGGATGACCTTGAGGCCGAAGGCCGATGACGTTGGTGTATGGATGACCTTGAGGCTGAAAGCCGAAAGTGACGTAGGTTGGTGACTTTCATTTGACATTGCATTGCAGTTAACCTTGAAAGAGGCCGAAGGCCGATGACGTTGGTGTATGGATGACCTTGAGGCTGAAAGCCGAAAGTGACGTAGGTTGGTGACTTTCATTTGAC